AGACCAATCAGATCGTATTCCTGATGCAGCGCGCAGCAAATCAAAGGCACAGCTTGTGCAAGAGTCACAATCTGTAAAGATACCACTTATGACCATATGAACCTCAAAGATCCTCGTTGTTAAAGCTTTGTTCACAATGGTCTCTCATGCTATACCAAAACAAAAACAAACAAAAAACAGAGGTATAGGGGTTCAATTGTCACTGCCCCCTTCTCACACAGGGCGAGAGGCAGGCGGGTGTATAGCCTGAACACCGAGTGTCGTAAAGCCACAACGACACTTCACAAAACAAAACGTGCTTATGACAGATGCATCTTGAAATGGACCACACGCTGTCTGTGTGAGACACAAGTATAGTTACTCTAGGACTTCAGCATATTGTTCCGGATGATAAGCATCCTTATCCTCACCAGCAGTTGAGCTTCCTGATGCTATTGAGCTCTGCACCACGACTGCGGGCCACCACCATGTCTTCTGTCAGCTTCTAGCTGGGCCTTTATGCCATTTATCTGAAGTCAGGCATAGTGACCCTTGTCAATAAAGTGTACCCATGTAACCCCAGAGAGGCTTGGAGTAGTCTGAAAAGTTGGTCCTGTTGCTGCCACTGCCCAAGACCACATGGCAGTCAAGTGCGGAGCAGGAACCATGGGCCCTGCACGGGCGGCGTCTGCAGTGCCACCGCCACCACAGCCCCATTACCTGCCCTGACACAGGACATCAATGCCAACCAGGCAGTGGCGACCCCATGCAGGAGACTGCGGCCCCGCCGCTGCTACAAGCTCATCACCACAGCCTCACTCCAGACATGCCCCATACAACTATAGGAGAAATCCTTGCACTGTGGCACATGGTTTGCCTGTGCTGGTTAATGGGCCTGACACCTCAGTGAGGATGGAACTGTGGGTGTGAAAGGAGGAAGGCTGTGAAGTAGTTGGTGGAAGTCAGGTAATCTCAAAGGTTCTGAGCCTGAAATATCTGGTACCATAAGCCGTACCTTGATCCTAGTGAATCTGAGGAAGTGTTATGACATTTACAGAGTGTTTCCTGAGTCCTAAGCTGTCTGAACATTCACAATCAGCTTGATATCCTTAAAGTCAATGACTGCAATATGCTTGCAGGGGACCTTTTTATGTGAATACTGATGAGCATGATCTGTTGAAAAACAATTTGTTAAAGCACAAATCAGAAAGCACCTATCCATAATAAAAGTCAAAACTCTAAAACTGCCTGACAGTTATCTCCAGGATGAATTAATCATTGAATCTTCAGATAATGCCTGACATACTGGTTTTCCCTGATGAGTTTAGCAGCAGACATAGTTAAGGGAGATGGTTTTTAATTATCTTTAAGCATTTATGGTGTATTTTGACCTACTGCAGAGGTCTAAGATGAGGCATTTATGGTGATAAGGGTCTCTTGCTGGGGGACAGAGACAGGTAGTTTATAGCCACATCCCATCATATACGCCACAGAGGTCAGGACTGACTAATTGTGAATACAGGAGCCTATCTGGATTTTGTAATGAAGAGGGAGAATCCTAATTGTCAAAGAAAAACCCACTTAAGGTTCACTGCACAGTGCATGCCAAACTTCTTGGGTAAATGTACATCAACGCTGCATGTTCTTCAAGCTGCTTAATCTGTTTGGCCAACTCAGTTTCCCACAGCCTTCATCTATCTACATGCATATTAATATATATTAAATGTGACACAACACCTGTGTGCCAGTGTGCAAAACATCTGCCCACTGCGCCAAACACGCCTTAGTGCACTGACTTTGGTGCATGAGGCATGTGTAAGCTCAACTCAAGTCAGGCAAAATTTTTGATTTTTTCACAATTTTTGCTTGAAAATTTGTGAAGGGTATTCTTGCTTGATGTCATCTTAACAGTCCAGATTTCTTCAAACATAAGCTTTATATATGCTGAGACTGGTTGTGACTATGGGCCAAACTGAGTGATCAGAATGTTTCCTTGGGTGAGCAGTGATAAACACATGACTGAATCACCAGTAATCAACATTATCTTAACACAACAACCGGGATAAGCAGATAAGCCTCCCACAGACACACAAAGCTCCATTCAAGTCAAGCTTGACAAGACCAAACGCAATAAACGACTAAACCCTGCACGTTCTTCTCAAAAAGGTGGTATAATGCACGACACAGCAACAGCAGCAGATATGATGAGAGCGATGCCGAGAAAACGATCGGTATCGAGGTACTATCGAGGTGTTGCTCACGCCACCACACGTAGGCGCCGACGAGGCGGTGCACTGACACACCACAGCCGGGAGCTCAGTCTACGGTAACAACCTTAATTTCACGCTTTGGTGACCCCCAACGAACAATGAGCCACACCACAACATGTGAATTCTAAGGCGTTGCAAATAAAACAAACAAAATAATGCGGTAAAATTATCCGACACTTGCCTTATTGTGCGCGAACCTCCCCAGGTGCCCGCGGCCACTCGCGTCCCACGCGATCGAACGGCCTGAAATTAATAACAGTGTTGTAAACCGTGACCTTCACGTTCCATTCATCCAGGCTGTTGGTAGCTGTTAGACACTGCTCGTACGCGCAGCGCCATTCACGCAGAAACCATTTTAAAGCAATCAACGGAGGCAAGGCAATTCAAGGTGTAATATTCTCCGTTTTCATTGGTCCTTGCTAATGCAAGTTCCACATGCATAAAATGGAACATGTAAATATTTCAGTTCTAGCGCAAAAGCGCTGAGGAGTGACGCTTCCAATAATTGTGCTGGGCACTCGGATTGTACTTATGGTTAGGGGAACTTGGAGGGTAGAATTGGGGTTAGATTCGGTTGGGTTCATTTGCACCAGGGCAGGTAGCTGCATGCATGTCGTGGAAACGTCACCATAGGAGCTGAGAGTGCCCTTGCCGAAATTAAAGATTTTCTCAATGCTTAGTGTTTGCTGAGTTATCTACAAAAACTCACGAACAACATGCAATCATCCAATGAATGGGGTGAAGCCGGTGTACAGATCCACAGCATTGGCTACGTTCTTTTTTGTCCTTGCCAGTACCATCCAGCCTTGTGATGCATCTTTGGATGTAATAGTGTGCCAGATGGCTTAAAAATCAAAGCAAATTGCAACCATGCTGACAAGATGTTGCTGAAATGTGCTATAATTTTCTGCACATATAGGGCATTTTGGTAATTGCATGTACATATGCATTTTTGCCCATCAGGCTGAGCTTCTGTCATGTAAGTTTTTTGCTCAGCCAACAGGGTAGCATGAACTGGAGTTGGGGCTGGAAGCTGCAGTCCTTTCTCTAGGGTTTTCAGCTAGGCTGCATGTATCCACCCTCTAAAATAGAGGGTGGTTGCACTCAGGGCTTCTGCACCCTCCAAAATGGAGTGTGGTTGCACACTGTCAGGAGCAGCATTAGAGATTGTGCATACCCCAGCATTATATTAGCAAAATGCTGTTAGTGCTTTTTATGTGGTGCATATAACAGAGATCTCAGATGTATGCTGTAACAGAGATTGTGCTGACTGCTCAGTGGACTTTACTCTATGCTGCTTTCCTGTAAGCACTGTGTTTCACAGGCCTGTGCAGTAGCTGAAACTGGTGCAACAAGCTTAAGAAGAAATGCAGCACATTTCGCTTAGCAAGCTCACCACAGAGTGAGTTTGGGCTATATCTAGCTGTATGTTTATTTTAGCTGCATTGTTTAAAAATTTTCTCTCTAGGGTCAGGGTTAAAGCTATGTTTAAGTGTAATTTATTGTGTTTTGTCCACTTTACTTTATTGAAAATGTAATAAATAGGATGATAATGTAAAGATATTCAAAATGGTGAATGAATAAGTCACAAGACTTAAATCTATGCATCTCTGCCAAAGAAACAAGACAGAACACATTTGCTGGACATGTTACTCCATTTAGGTGCTTTGGCATAACACCAGCTATTGCTATCACCACCCCTTTATTTCTTGCCGCAGTTTTAAACTTGGTTGAATGTGGTCCTGGAAGAATTCTGTGAACACCCAATCCATCCTCATTTTTTTGTTTGTTTTATTCCATGTGTTAGTGTGTGTATTGTGCAAAGTCTAAAAATGGACTGAAAAGGGGACCTAATATTTCCATGACATGCAGGAAGAGATGGCATCTAATGTGTCAAAAAGGTCAGCAAAAGAGGATGAAGTGATCAGCTGTTTGTGATCTGTGACCACATACACATTAAGGAATAATATATTTTTTTAGCCTGAAAGTGATGTGCATTCAGAGGGAAGTTGCAGTTTCTTATTTGCATGTGACAGATGTTTCCATATTTTGACCTGCATGAAAAATATGGGAAATATTTATCAGTGTCAATCAAATCTACTATGATTCTTTTAATTGTGATGTTTGTGTGCATTTTCTATGTGCTACTGGTAGCTTGCTCCATGTGTGGGTGACTTCAGTATGAGTGATCATTGAAAAATGTTGTTTAATCTTCAGGTAGCATTGGGCGCTCTGGGTTTATGAGTAATTGGCCAGTGTTTGTGATGCATGTATGGGGGAGTATCTGCCAATATAGGGGCATTGTTGATGAGGTTTTGTATTCATCAGCATGTGAAAAGTGACTAGTTGTGCTGCCTTGGTTGTGTCCCAAGGGCATTCCACCCCATGTCCATGTGATGTCCATAAGTTGATGTCCAGGCAAGGCTCCTGATCTGAGTGTCACCACTTGGTCTTTCTTGTTTGTCGTGTGATGTAATGTATATGTCAACAGCAATGCACAATAATCAATATGATATCTTTGTAAATTTTTACATGTGACAGAGTGTGCTGCAATGTGTGCTTAGCTATGGTGTTAAGTGGGTGTGAGCTATGTATGCCTGCTTATGTTGCTATGTACTTGTGTGTGATATTTCAGATCTGTTTATACAGTACATTCCAGGTATTTATGCACTTTGGTGCCTTGGTAAATGCATTGGCCTGAGCATTTCAGCATTGGTTGTGGGTTTTGTGTTTATGGCTGAATGTCAGGAATATTGTTTTAGAGGTGTTGCATTTCATGGCCCGCTGTCTTCCATCCCCCTCAGAAGCATCCAAATCAGTCAAAGAGAGTCCTGTGCCATGTCAGTATTGTTTGACTATGGGAGGCAGGGAGGGAAGTGTCATTGGCATAAAATAGTATGTCAATAGTTTTTCAGAAAGTCTGTCAAGATGCATAAGAGCCAATTGATGTTGTATGATCAATCCCTGTGGGCGCCCAGAAGCCATGGTTATTGTAGAACTGACATTTCCCACCCTCCCCTTTTGTGTTCCAGTCCATCATACCAAATTGTTCTCATATCATATTGTAAGTATTCTCAAATTGGATATATTTTGTGTAACCTGTTGTCCCTTGTAGACAGAGGAACATTCTGGTCACTGCTGAGAAGAAGCGGATCTGTGAGCAGAGAGCACTTCATATTGTGGAGATGCTGCTTGAGCCTACCATCGAGTCTGCATGGCTTTTGCAACAGGTTTGTGTCATTTTGGCATTTGTTGTGGTGCTAATAATACATTCACCAATCAACGGTTACTCTCATTTAGTTGTCAATGCTTCTCAACTGCAGGTGTAAGCTATTTGCTTCTGTGCACATGAGTTCATGTGCCAGTCACCTGAATACTTAAAACTTATGGTATACCTGAGTATCTACCTGCAGTGTTGTGCTAGGCTTGACACAATGCAACATAAATATTCAGTCATTATACTTAGATGTGTCATGTGTTGAGTGATATCTCCTTCACAAAATGCTTGTACTGGCAGGTGAAATTCATCGATCAGAACCATTACCAAGATGTAACAGAAGAGCGGTGTGTTACTGGCTGCTGTGGGTATCCACTTTGCTCAAGGAGTCTTGGCAAGATACCCAAAAAGCAGTTCCAGATCTCTACACTCACCAACCGAGTGTATGACATTTCAGAAAGAAAGGTAAGATGCTTCCAGGTACTTGTGTCAATTACTGGAACCGTCCAGGGTCAGCAGGTAGTTGCTACCTCGGTGATTCTAGGATTTTGCCAAAGTTGGACCGCCAGGCTGTCTGGAGCATGTCTGGTGTGGAACATCGCGAAGCCCATGAGGCCAATGCCCCTAAATGCTGCGTCCGTGTTACAATTGAATGATAAACCTTGTGACGGCTCGTTGACCCTCGGTGGCTCTATGGCTTTTGCCTAGCTGCTAATTGCACGCCCCTCGGTATTGCTTGTGTCATTATTTATTGCTCGCACATCCCTTTTTGTATTCCGTCTGCTACTCAGTACTGTGCAGCATTCCATCTGTTAACGCTTAGTTGTCTCTTACTGTGCCGCACGATCTCAGCGCTCTGTTGGCCCTTCCATCAGCAAGGAGCTGGATTACCTGACTGTTGGAACTGTTGCCGCGCGATCTCAGCGCTCTGCTGGCCCTTCCGTCAGCAAGGAGCTGGGCTACCTGACTGTTGGAACTGTTGCCGCGCGATCTCAGCGCTCTGCTGGCCCTTCCGTCAGCAAGGAGCTGGATTACCTGACTGTTGGAACTGTTGTTTTACCTGACTGTTTATTACCATCTGTTGGAAAATCCTGGCGAAAAATGATGCTTCAGATGATAAAGAAGCTATGATTACACTCTGCCTGTATCATTGTAAATACCCTGAACACTGACGGCAAAAAGAGACAGCTTTCTTGTGTGCGTCATGACCTAGAGAAGAAAGGCATTTGTATTCTACGTGACATCCCATCACAGCGTTGTTATCCCTCCTGGACAGTCATTACCAGAACGAAGGCCAACGCTGTTCTATTCATCTTTACCTCTTCACAAATTATTGCCTGTGCCGTCCATATCAGTAAGTATTATTGTTTCTGACGCTGGACACTCACGAGGAAGGCCTATCTACCTGGGAATTGGAGAATTGAAAAAAATTGAGAAAACGTTCGTCATTGTCTGCGCCTATCCGAGTAACGCGCAGAAAGAAGCACGGAAGCGTGATTGGGGATCATAACCTCCGAAAAGCAACAACAACGACCACCATTAGTTCCGCCCCTGCCACTGAGGCAGTCCCTGCCTCCGCCTCTGCCAGCCAGGCAAGCGTTGCCTCCGACTCCGACTCAGCCAGGCAAGCGTTGCCGCCAGTCTGGTAAGCGTTGAGCACGCCTTTACCAGCCAGGCAAGCGCTGCAAACAACGAGCGAACAGCATCTGTCGTAGCACATTACCCCCAGCTCGATATCAGATTAAGGGCGGCCTTATTTGGAAAATATTTCCCTTTAAGTGGTGTTATTGCGACGTAACAATGACCGCCAAACCCTGGCGGTGCGGCTGTCCGTCTTCATCGTGTTCCTCGGTTGCCTTGGCATTGTCCTACCATTCCCCTGTCACTCCGTGTCGCCAGTCCCTTGTCTGCGCATCCATTCTGCTCGTTCCCACGTCCTCGCGTACCCCGCGTCCACCACTATCGCTTCGCGCCAAGGTGTGCTCAATGCGATGGGCTGGGCTGCCATACTTGGGTCTTCCGTCTCGCGGTATCTTTTCCCGGTATGTTAGTCCGCCCGTATTTCTCCGTTTACATGGTTCTTGCCTCATGGTCGATCCCTTTTTCTCGCGTCGTTTCGCACGTCTTCCTTAAAGTTTTGTGTCTATTGATTGAGCTCTAGTGGTCCTTGTCTTTCAACCTAGCTTTTTACCATTCTGATATATATCATTATGTGGTCGACTTTAGACCAGACGTTGTGGGCGGACCCTATATCCATCACAGCAACCTAGCCAATTATTCGTAACTTTTTTAGTTGTATTAAATTTGGCTCATTTCAAAATTGGCGTAAACAATTAAGTTAGCGCAGTTAACTCGAGCGCAGTTGCCTGAAGAAGCCAGTGCAGTGTTCTGACACCCTAAACGGCGTTGAGGGAGAGGGGCGGGGTATAAGGGACAGGGTCGCGGGGCTGACGACCTTTACTGCTGGACGTGAGAATGAACGTGAGTGAGCCTGGTGGTGGAATCGAGCCAGGCTGTAGTACGGTTGAGCGAAAGGGGGTAACGTGGAGGGCCCACGGGAGCACGCGGTAGTTCGTCATATAAGCAGGATGTGTAACATCCGTCAAGTCACCTATACGGATTGACCAGCCTCAAAGAACGCCTGAGAGCAACGTGACGGTTATGGCCAGGGTAACGGCGAGGCGCCCATCTAGATGGGACGTAATCCAGCCCGCGTCAGCCGCCCCGTGATATGTGTGTGTGAAAACCAGGGAGCCCGGTCACTGACCTCATCCCAATAACGCGAAATTACCCTCTCCCAAGCACTGAAAATGCCGATATGTCTCGAAGATATTTGAACAGGTCTCGATGAGTCATAATCCCACCAAGGCACGCGTGAAGGCCATGCGTGTTGTGGTGCCTGCCCGCAGTTTGCCTACCCTATCGCCGGTGAGTTCGAAGACGTTCCATGACATCACCGCAGCCGCAGCGACTGCTGTCTCGCTTCAACTCCATCCTTGTCCTTGTCCTTATCACAAGCTAACATTACATTACGACCGCTGTCCCTGTTCTTCCCTTGCTACCCTGTCCTCCTTTGCGTGTGGTAATGGGTAGGGCTTTACGTCTCCCCGACTGCCAGGGCCATGTCGAGACGGACGCCTTCACAAGGGTGTCGCGTGGGACACAGTTTGGCGTGGGAGGGGTCCGAACCCAACACTCACGGGTCCAGAATCGAGCGCTCTAACCATTATACCACCAACGGGGCCTCCTTTGCCTCTGGTGCTTTTGGTACGCATCTGACGGACGCACTTCCCCGGACACTTCTAAAGCCTCTGGTACCCCTGGCTCTTAGGGCCAGGTGCTCCTGGTGTTCGGAAGTGGTCCGGACGCGCGTAAGTCCTCATGGCGGCTTCCGGCGTTCTTCAGAGCTTCTGTTGTTGATGTGAGATGGGGATGTGACCAAGTGCCACTGGGGTGTTCCCTGGAGTGTGGCGACGTAATCAGGACACTGAGAACCTTTTCAGAAATTCTGCAGCAATGCCTGCTTTCGAGCGTCTCGGCACTTGCACGCGCAGATTCAGACCAGTCCGCTGTGGCTGCGGGACCACGAGCCGGCACCCAGCTTCACCCTCCTAGATGAAGCGGCCAATCGGTAAGATAAACAAGTCTCGCTGGGTCGCCAATTGTATTCTGCTCCTGTTTATTGCTGATGCCACCCATCCCCGTTTTCTCTTCAATAAGGCTGATCAAACATGTTAGACATTGGCGAGGGGTTCAGTATTTTGGCTAACCCATTTCTCTGTCATACCTAGAAATAAATCGATTTTGCTATAAAAAAATCGTCGGAGCGCATATGCAGTCCGGCAATGCTATCACCGTATTGAACATGTATCTCGCATATAATGGAACCAGTCGGCAGCCTGTGGTGCGTGCGGCTGGCGCCACGTGAGCGCCGCTGACGCCGCCGGCCGTCGGCAGGCGGGGTGTGGCCGGTGACCTGGTGGACTTGGGCGTGGTGTGCGCGCCGGCCGAGGACGCGGCGCAGACCACCACCGACCAGGTGGTGACCGGCATGCTGCACCAGTTCGACGAGCTCTCGGAGCGGATCGGCGAGCTCGGCTTGAGGCCGGAGGAAGAGAGCGAGCGGCAGCCCGGCGGGGGGCGGGCCGGCCGCAGCAAGGTGCGGTTCGGCACGCCCGCCGGTCGGACTGACGACCCGCCGCCTCCAGCACCGGCCGAGGTCGCGCCGGCTGACCAGGAGCCCGGGGAGAGCGGCGTCGCGGAGAGCCCCGCGGGCGGACAGACGGCCGAGGCGTCGCCGACTCGGACGCCGCCAGAGACTTCGGCCGGGGCTCCGCCGCGAGCGCAGGAGCCGGCGTCACCAGACTCGGAGTCGGAGTCGGGCCGGACGGCGGCCTTCAAGCGGCCGTCGTGCGCCGCGCGGCGGCCGCAGCACCCGCTGGTGGTGGTGGAGGCGCGACTCTTTGACTGGATGGCGGCGCGGACGGTACCTGAGCCGCCCGCGCCACCCGCGCCGTCGAGCACCGCCCACCCGGAGCGCGGACAGTCCGTCCCACCGTGCGCCGAGGCCACGCACACTGTGGCTGAGACGTGCGCACGGGACGACTCGGCCGGCGGCGGCCCGTCCGAGGTCGCCGCGCCGATCCTCACGCGGCAGGAGGCGGAGGCGCGCAACCAGGCGCTGCTGGCCTACCTGCAGGGACAGACGGGCGCGCCGCGGAAGGAGGCGGTGCAGCGGCCGGCGCAGGGCCAGTCGCCGTACGAGCCACCGCTGATCGAGTCGCAGGACAGAGTCCGCCGGCGGTTGGTCAACGATCACCTCGGCCGAGCGTCAGTATTGGTTCTCCTCATACCTATCGGGCTGCTCCGGTCGGGTGGGCGTGGTTTCGATGTTGGTCGAGTCTTCTCGCTCCGAACTTCGCTGCGATCTTGTAATGACATGCAGATGAGCAGCAGATACGGAATCCCCAAGACAAAACCTGTGATATGTTACGCGTTGCCTGTGGTATCGCCCGAAATCGGTCCCGATTATTCGTAGCATTATTACTGCGCAGAACGATTCAGTTCACCTCGCGTTCCAAACAGCTTAGTGATGGCCATGAACATGTGTACCGTCCTCTACCAGACATGAGACCGTCCACCTATTCATCCATTCCGTCGTGGTACGTGGTCACTGGCACGCGGCCCGCCGCTCCGGGTCCTGCTCGTTTGAAGCTGTCCGTGTTCTGCGCAGCATGGCGCGTCTGCTGCCGCCGCTCGGCCTGGTCTGGACGGACGTGACGTCACCGCTGCGCCAGCTGATCGCCGGCTTCCATCTGACGGCGCAGAACGTGACGCTTGGGCCGCACCAGTGGACGCTGGCGGCGCTGGTCCTGCTCAGATAGTACGTGTTTGTGCGCGTGGCGGCAGGCCCACCTGGTGGTGGGCGGCTGGCTGGTCCGTATGTGCCAGTCAGGCGTCAGCGACTGAATGCTGCTCCAGGCGCGCGTTATCGGGAGAAATTGCCTGGTGATGTCTTACAGTGTGTTTGCTTCATGTTCGCTGGCCAGCTTGTAAGGCGGTATGGTGCGGAGCGGTGAGGCGGTTGCTGCAGCGGCGCGGAGAGACGTATGAGAAGACACCCTTTGGCTCGACTCCTGAACACTTCACCCATGTCTTCGTCCCTGACTTAACCCCTCCTCACCCCACTCGTCCCTCACCCCACTCCGCCCGTCACTGGCGTCCCAAGCCGACTTTTGTACCACTTCTCGGTGCCGGTTATCCCCTAACTTTGCCCCGTGTTCGGCAGTCTGCCTTGCCACGTACCGGAGCTCACCGCCGCACTCTCCCTAACTCTGCCCCGTGCTCTGCAGTCTGGTGCGCCGCAGGCCCGAGCTCACCGCCGCACTCTCCCTAACTCTGCCCCGTGCTCTGCAGTCTGCTGCGCTGCAGACCGGAGCTGACCGCCGCCCGCTCCCTAACTCCGCCCCGTGCTCGGCAGTCTGCTGCGCCGCAGGCCGGAACTGGACGCCCTTGCTCGGGACGCGGACGGGGCCTTCGCTTCGGCGCTGCGATCGTTCCAGCTGACACGTACTCGGCTGGATAAGCTGGTGAACCGACTGGAGGCGGCTGTGGCTGTCCCGGTGCCCTGCGACTCAGCCCGATGATGGGGTTCTATTGTGACAGAAGTAAATATATTTTTTCGTGAGATTAGCTTGTTTTGGGGGATTTGTGCGTCGGATTCTTCTTTGCATCGTACCGAGACGTATTAATTTTCATTTGAACTGACAGTGAGTTGGACCAGCTGCCTGTCTTTCGGACGGTCGTAGCGACGTGGCGTTTGATCTCCGGCTTTGGCGACGTTGAAACGCGTGTTATTCTGGGGATCTGGTGCCTCTGCTAGCCTGGAGGTGTGCGGAAGGCATGAAACGTGGCGCGAACACTTGCTATCCGTGTTTTGGAGGGAGGATTGCACAAGTATTTCTCTGTATATTTGCCGAATACCCGGCGTGCGGAGCTGTGCAACGGCATATTCCGAAGCGTTACCGTTGTTGACGTTGTCCAGCAGAGGCATCACTATAACAGTTTGTATGCTGTGCGCCTGTCCTACCTGCTATTTAACGTTGGAGTAAGGCATGATATCGCTGCTACCTTCCACACAATAAATCACGGATTAGCCACCAGTGAGGTCCGGGATACCACCGGCATAACCCCATGTCCCCGGAGGCATCCGAAACATCGTCCCCGCGATGTCCGGGTCCTGTCTGCGTAGTGAGGGGAGCTGACATGCAGGAGAACGTCTGAGCCGCATGCTTATGACTGAAGAATAGCCTTCTTTCCCATGTCGGGATGGCTTTGGTCAAGATGGTCGAGGTTCGCGACCGATCTGGAACAGGTGCTATCGATTTCTTGCTTAGTCTGAGCGCCAATAGACTTTTAATTGCACAAAGACTCACAAGCAAGTCAAAATTGCCTTTTTTTAGAAAATTGGGTCAAGGTCAAGCCAGGCCACTTCATACCTAAGTAACCCAAATTGTTATATTGGCCCATATTTGAGGAACATGTAAGTAGTAGGCTTTCCGGTGCACTTTTCTCAAACATCACAGTCAGCAAGCTGTGTCCGCGGGAACGAATTGAACAATGGGGTTGGTGACAGCGTTGACGGGTATTGACCCTTTAAACGGACGTTTCGGGAACTATCTGGAGTCCTGGGAGCGCAAGGTGGCTTTTCAAACCTAAGGCGTGCACTTTTACCCGTTTCTGGATTGGTGGGACCACCGTCACTCCCGAGCGGCTGGCTGCCAACCTGAGGTCAGGGGTGCAGTTTCTCATTCAGGTGGGTGAGCGACCCCTACTTGGAATTGAACGCCACCAACGTTGAAAAAGTCGGCCAACTCCGAGGAAAAATTCGCTCGTTGCTTAGTCACTGCTTTGCGAAGGCTGTCAGGTTAGTTCCCCGTCCTTTCGCAAGTCACCACATGTGAAAGGACGGGGAACTCCACATCACTCAAAAATTAGCCGTCGATTTCGAGCTTGCAAGCACCAGAATACGCACCGCGGCAGGAACTAGCGTTCGTCAAAAAGTCCTGACCTCTCGAGGCTACCATTCAAAGCCAAACTAAGGCTCAGGTGTCGGGAAATTTTGGCGATTTACTCAGCGATCTATTCAGCAACGATTTGCGATTTCTCTGAAAGGCGTCATATTGTCAATAGTGGCACGAGAACATCGGAAATAACGCTTGTTTTGAAATATCACGTGACCCAAGGTTTAAGGCATGGTCGACGAACGGCGAAATCCATAACATCAAAAAAGTGCCGGCCGATTTTAAGTTTGCAAACGTCAGTCTTAACAGCCACAAGGACTAGTGTGCGTCAAAAATCTTGACCTCTCAAGGTCATCCTCCGAGGTCATATTCGGGCTTAAAGAACGGATATCTCCATATCACTAAAACGTCATCGGCCGATTTCAATTTCTCAAGTAACGCAATGTTAACTGCGGGAACCAGCGTCCGTCAAATAGTCCTAACCGCTCAAAGTCATTTTTCATCGTCAAAGTCAGGCCGATAGGACGGAAAGCCCAACATCACCTAAAAATAACTTGCTCATTTTAACTTTGTGTGCTCCAGAGTATTCACCACAGAATGAACTAGCGCTGTTCAAGAGTTCCGACTTATCAGGGTTACCCGTCGAGATCTGACTAAGGCTGAAATGATTGGGTACTCTACATCTTTTAAAAAAGCGATGAATTTCAACTTTTCAAGCATCAGAATGCTTGTCAGCGCATGAGCTAACATCCACTAGAAGTCCTGACCTCTTCAGGTTATCCGTCAAAGTCAAATTCCGGCTCAAATGCCGGGAAGCTCTCTATCCTCAAAAATTACCGGCCGATTTTGAACTTGCAAGCATCAAACGCTAGTTTTCTTTTTCTTTTCCACGGACGCCAGTTTTTGTGCCTGTGAATCTCCTGGTGCTTGCAAATATCGGCAGATATTTGGGATGTAATGTTCCCCGTCCTTTGACCTTGTTTTTGGCTCTGAAGGTTATAATGTGTTGCCAAACAATCGTTATTTTCGATGTTGTCCTTCCGTAATTGATCATATGTTGGAGTTTCAGAGAATCCGCAACTCGTCGCTGAATGGATCGCTGAATAAATTGCCAACTTCACGGACATTACAGCCTTCACGTGTCCTGTGTTGTGATCTTGGCTCAAAAGAAGTCCATCCTTTCGTTCAATTGCCTCGTTTTATTTTGCACTGCACATTACAACTCAATATGTATGAGAGCTCCATCTTATTCTAGTCGGAGAAAACACGGGGCAGATTATGCTGCGTTCACGCGGCACCGGCTATCACTAAGCACTCCAATTTCCCCCCTTCAACTTCCACTTGGTGTATATGGCCCACCGCTGGTTCGCCGTTCGCCAGGGTCAGCAATCTGGGCAGGAGACCGCCAGGTGACTGGCGTCTGCTGCTGGCGGTGGGCCGCCTCGCCGCGCGTCCGCCGGACCGGAACCGCGCCGCCTGGGGCCGGGTCGCCGCCAGCCGCCGGAGCCGGCCGAGGCCGGCTGCGTTGCGCCGCGGGACTTCCAGCACGCAAAATCCACGCCCCGCGGCCAGGACAGCAGCCCACTAGCTGTACTCTATGAAGCCCATCGACGTCAGGTGCTCGGGCAGGAACGAGTTCATGTCGGGGTACGTGATCCAGGCGGGGTCGGACGGCCATTCCCAGTCGGTCGGGTCCATCATCATGTCGCCCTGGGGCTCCCAGTCGCTCGGATCTCCAAACTCCAGCGGCATCAGGAAGTCGGCCAGCGGGTAGCCGAAGTCGTCCATGATCTGCGGCCGGCCCAGCGCCTGGTTAGAACGGCGGCGCCCCGCTCCGTCGCTCCGCCGCCCCACCAGCTGGGCGGGGCGGGCGGTGACTCGGGCACGCCGGACTCGCCATCGGCGGCAGATCCGGGGGACGGGCGCAGTCTCGGACAGGGGTACTGCTCGTGCTGACGGAAGGGCTGGTTGATGGCGTGCGCTGTGGGCACGTACTGGCAGAGTGTGCTTAGGAAGTCTGGGTTTAGGCCACGAGTCTGGCATGCTGCGATCCTGATGCGGCTCAAATGATCAAATCGGCACCTTTGGCAGTCTACAGAATGATATTAAAACAAACTAGCTTCAGTAAGAGATGCTCCCAACAAATAAGACCACAACAGACTAAAGGAAACGTGCTGCTCGAGAGAACCCAACGACTTTATCAGCTTATGAGTCGTGTATACTTTTGTCTCCGGCAATTTATGGCCAGGCACTCAGGAATGACTCCCAGAGAGGTAACGTATCAAGGGTATGCATCGAGGGTGTATATCGAGGGTATAAATCGAGGGTATGTTATCGATTAATATGAATCGATGGTATATATCGCGGGGGGGGGTATCCAGAGTATATATCAAACGTATACATCGAAGGAATGGCATAGGTGTAATGAAACCCAAGTGACGCCACGCATCTGTTAGAGCAATGATGTTCGTTAGCAGATTCAACCCGCTCACAGTCGCATCACTAATGCTGCAGGCACGGCAACCCATCTCTGCAGCTGCAGGCAACCCATCTCCTTCAGGCAAAGTGGTGACCGGCCGGCTTGGTCGCCGGAATTCAAACCGCGCCTGGCTAGCAACGTCACGGGTAGCTGGGTAGCATTCCCTCCACGAAGGTGCCCTAGTTGGCTCCAGCACACCGGCCGTGACCAACTGGCGCCGTTCTGATGCGGGCGGGTGCCGTGCCGGCATTGCTTGCGCGTGGTGCGTGGCCCATGTCCTCTGTCACCCTTTGGTTGTACCCTCCCCCTCACTATGCGCTCACTTAACAACAGCACGATTCCCGTGTATCCAGCCGCCATCGGCAGGTGGCCATCGCACCCTCGCTCACCATCGGCAGGTGACCATCGCATCCTCGCTCATCATCGGCAGGTGGCCATCGCACCCTCGCTCACCATCGGCAGGTGGTCATCCCGCCCTCGCTCACCATCGGCAGGTGGGCATCGCACCCTCGCTCACCATCGGCAGGTGACCATCGCACCCTCGCTCACCATCGGCAGCTGGCCATCGCACCCTCGCTCACCATCGGCAGGTGGCCATTGCACCCTCGCTCACCATCAGCAGGTGGCCATCGCACCCTCACTCACCATCGGCAGGTGGCCCTCGCGCCCTTACTCGCCATCGGCAGGTGGCCCTTGCGTCCTCACTCACCATCGGCACGTCATCCCAGGGCCAGTCAACGATGATCCAGTCGGCAGATTCGGGCGGCGGTTCCAGTACGTCGATGTAAATAACATTGAAGA